AAGGTCAAGTTTGCTTACGCCCTTTTGGTTTAGTCTTCCTTGTCCTGGAGAGGCCCCTCATGACGTTTTGTGGACCTCAGTTTTTTTTTCTTCTCAAGTTTGATCAAGGCCAAAGAGCCTTACCTATTTTGTGGAATGATGGGTCAGTTGAGTTAGGAAAGGGTCGCGACCTTTGGCCACGATTATAGCGCCTTGGTGGGAAGCAGGCCACTGCCCTACCAGGTATTCGCTTAAAAAGCCGTTCTTTATTAAGCATAAATAAATCCTTCCACGGCATCCTGCCGATATTGGAGATATGAGGGGGGATGAACCACATCCCAGACCTCATACTCGTCTTAATTCTGAAGGACACCGCGAAAGATGCTGGCCGTGCCCAAGATTGCTNCACTGTCTGGCAGTAAGAGGTTTCCCCTGGTGTGGAGATTCGTGCCCAAAGGGTTCTACCACTTCCCTAGGCTTTTAATCAAAGAGAGATTGGCAAAGAGAGAAAGCCAATGCACTGGGATCATTAACCTGGGAGAAAGCCAATGCACTGGGATCACTGGGATAAGTAATAAATTAGCTTCAATCCGAAAAAATATATACATATGGAAATCATGAAATTATTAAACATTTTAAAAATAATGTATGACTTAGGGAATCATTAAAAGCTGAAGGTCAGGATGTTATTACAGCAGTGCGCGGGAATAGGGAGGAGTAGAATTCCAGTTTCACAAGTACACAAGTGTATTATATCTTCTCTATCCTTAAAGGAAGAGGGCTCACCTAAACATCTAAATAAAAAAATTACATTCACTTGACGTAAAATTAACATAAACATGCTGCTTGGTTGCATTCATCGATGAATATCAATCGGAGCCACTCCTTCCGCTGCCAAAAATTCCATAACAGCACCTTTGCTTAACCCTTCAAGGCTTTTACGTACACCGTACGTTTATCGCTTAATAGGTCAATTAAAAACTCAGCACTTGAAGGGTTAAATCGCGATGACGGGTGGTCATGGGAAGCCTCCATTTCAACTGCAACGAAAAAACAACCGTTCACCGTTACAGCGAACGGTTGACTTGCCAATGACTGATACGCCTGACAATGAGTCACAGAACTTGTCAAAACTTGCTTTAGGCTACTATCGCTATCTGTTAAAAATTATGGAAGTAGAGGCATTACTTTCGTTCAACCCTCGTATATTCCTGGCCTATGTGGGGGGGCGGTATTATACCAAGCTACTCAGGAGGAGCAGGCGAATCGATTGATCTCATACTTTTTTTTTGATGCCGCGGAACGGCACCATGAAATGTAGGTGAATTTGAAATCATCTGAATATATTTATGAATATTTATTGATGTCGTTGACGGATTTGGAGAGCGAAATGCATTTTGCGTAGCATTCGTCTTGTTGTGTCTGACTTGTCCTATCCCTAAGTTAGTTTTTGCTGGTTTATATGGAAATATACTAATGAATAGCGTTAATATTTGCGTGGACATGCCATCCAATTTAATCTCCCTGTCTTCAAATGTTGAAGGTAATTCTGGGGAGGCTCTAAAAAATAAGCGCGAATGGCAATTTTTTAATGTTTTTTTATTTTTAAAAGCTATTTTGAACTTCGGAACCAAGTATCTTGAGAATGAGATGAAAAAATTTTCCACAGATCTTTCGAGACGACTATGAAAAAATGGCTCTGTAGAATCAAGAGAATGTTTTTATTCTATGAATGATTTTATTGAGGCCATGTTGACGAATGATGTAGCAATCGCTACTGCTTAAACTAATCTAAATTTAAGTCTGAATCTAAACTTGAAAGCAGTCTAATAGCAAAAAGCCTCTTCTTCGCCCAGACTCTTCTTAAATTTGTTTAAAAGGAGGAACATTTTTTAGACAGGTCCGACCCGGTCTTAATATTGTATTAATGTTGGGGATGGTAAGGGAGAACTCTGCTTGTTTGCTCCATACCGTATGGAAGTCCAAGACCATTTCATACAAATGCCATCCCGTTCTCATGGGTAATTCCTGTTTTGTCCCCATTGGCCCCTCCCAATGCGCTGTGTACTCCTGCATTTATTTCCCACTGATGTAAGGAACAATAAGCTCCCTTGGATGCTTTTGCAATGCTTTCAGATTACGTTTATAAAATATTTAGCTCGAAACTTTATATAAATGTAAACATAATCTAATCTAGCATTGGTCACTCAGCAGTCAGGTGAGGAACTCCTTTCGCTACGTTTCAAAAGGCGTTTAGTTCATTTTTAGATATACACTTAAATTTAGTGTAGCGGAGGAGAGGAACAGGCTCCTGGAATTTCAATTCACATCAGTCTCTTCTCGACAGTGCCAGGTCACCTGAAACATGACAGTAAAGCCGAAATCCGTCCATGGTCGATTCGAGAGGGGATGAAAATTGACCTTGAATCGTCGAGACGCATTACAATCTTCGTCTTCCACTTCATCTTGTAGAAAAAATAGTCTCTTACAAACACACGAGCAGCGCATTGGCTGTTGAAAGATTCACACGCAGTGTGGGGGCATAGATTATAACTAGAGGCGAAACTCCGCTCGAATCTCATTCTTTGACAGGGTCGCAACGCAGATGTGGCTGTCGATCCTCCACATAGCGTGCGTACATCAACTCCATGGCCGAGTAGCAGACTCAAGGAGACACGCTTATTACGTTGATGGATCTAATATCATTCTCTACTCGATGGAGGGACTGCATGGCCGCCTCTTCACCCTATCGCCTTCTCTCAGGTTATAGCTCGTGCTCGTTTGTAGCTTACGTTTGTACCTCGTGCGTCTCGAAGGTATTCTAATGTGATCGCTTCATACATTTGTCAAGTCCAGATTCATAGTGTTTAAACGCTATATTTTGTTTTGTGTATTGAAGGTGCAATATTTATCGCTGGTAGTTTGTCCACCGGCGATAAGCTTAAAAGCTTCACATTCCCACAATTAAGAGCATTAGAAACATTAAAGCATTTGTTAAAGCCTATCGCCTCAAATCACTATTCTTCCACGCTTTCTTTCAGTCTTAATCACCTCCCGATTAGGATATCCACCTTCGCAAATATTTCGGTAAGCTTTTTAGTTGAAAAAAAATTGAGTCCTTTCCATGACATGAAAGAGAGTAAACCGAAGAAAAGAAAATGTTTGTTCTCTTGGGGGTGTGTAGATCAAACGAATAATTTTAAAAAGTAAATTTCAGCAGAATTCATTTTCCGCACCGAGCTTCCCTTACTGAGTGATGTCGGAGAAAACACAATCAAGGAAAATATGTGAGTCAAAACTTGTGCTTTTTCTGTTGGCGATCTACAGATCAGTCCCTAACAGGGAAAATGAATTATCTTCAATGTAAATTCTAAACCACCATCCTCCCCTTCTGGGGCAGCGAAGAATGAGTATGGTATGAAGAACGAGGACGAAACGCATAACATGTAGGACACATACGCACGAAACCAAGTTAAAGCATTTTGGGCATGAATAAGTACTAAAATTCCGGTCTTATTGACTGGTGGTGAGAAAATTGACTCGGGAATGTACGATATGACCCACATTGTCAACAAAACCCAGAGCAATAAGCAATTGACTTCGAAAAGAGAGAATGGGTTATAACAGAAATTGACAATAAGCTGGTTCTTCTGCTTAAGAGATTCAGCAAATACTTTCTTTAAATTCAACCCTTTCTTCGAGCAATACCCGTCAACCTCATATCCCTTCCAAAAAAATCGCATTTTTAGGTGGATCGTCGAACTTTTGAGGATAAACGGTTGAAGGAAACGATATGAAATTCCGCACAAAGATGGGCAAGGGAAGTCTCTTAAAATTGTAGCAAAATGTTGTCAAAAGAAAAAATGTGCAATGAATGAGCGGGGAAAACGGGCAAATCCCAAGAAATATTTATTAGTATGTCACCATGGCGTCTTCAGAAACACAGATGCATGTATTCATCATTTCCATTTCGAGCGCTATATACAAGGAGAACCATGGACATTTAACGTTTCTGCGACAAAACATAAGGAAAATACGGATTTTTAAAAAGAGGCAAGCAAATTCTAATATTGATCGAGTCAGCACTGCCCCAGGCCAGACCTGAGAGAACCACCAATCGGCTCAAAGGCCCTTCATCGTGGTATCTTACTACAAAAAAAACTCGAAATTTCGCATTGACGGGGCGGATTTTTAAAATTATATTTAACGTACTTCAAGTTACTTGTGCTCGAAAAGTCAGATTCTTAAATCCCAAAGATTCTTAGCAGAAAGATGAGTCTGAAATTCTTTAATTTGAGATAGCAAAATGATCGTGTGATTCAGATTCGGCTTAATAACGATATCAAGACAATCAATATACTTTTCTTGCTATTTCATTGCATTTTCCTGGCAGTTCGAAGGATTACTTCCCAGTCTGCTCAACTAAATTGACTCAACGTTGAGATGTTGCTGATGATATTGATGGGATATTGATGCTGACGATTCAAAGCATAGTCATATTTTGAAAACAAACATTTCGAGGACATTGTCCTGTGAACATTTCTTCAACGTATATTGGGAGAGACATTCGAACGAAGGGGGTTTCTTGACCCTGAAGTGATGCGGCAACAAATCCCTAACACAACGAGTTACCGCATATATGCGACAGTCAAGCGTCCAAAGTACTATTGGAGATCTGCGTATTTTTGCCTAAACTCCCCCGGGGAAGGCATTTGAATTCCTCGATATATACAACCAAATAGATCACCCAACCCAATGAGACCCATGGGAAATCTGGCCCTTGGGACGGATAGAAGTGCACATGTTGATGCGCCTCTGTCCTATATCGATAGATAAACAAAAATAATGAATCTTATCCTGCGGGTCGCGCGTAGGCATTCATACAGTGACTACTTGCCAGTTATCTTTGACTGGAATTACTCCGCTGTATTATTCCTTCCTCGTGTTCGGGATGTCTGTATCTCATATCGGCATAAACCTATGTCAAAATCAGACAGGGGTATTTCTAATTTCTATACTGAATGGGGTGAGATCGCGCAGATATTTCATCGAATACTTCAGCAATCAAGTGGCCCGTGCACTATCATCCGTATGTGCCATTTGATTGAGAGAAGCGTATTTTTTTGCAACTATCTTTTAGACCATTCTCATTTCAGCATTCAGTCTATCATGATTCAATGTGGCAATGAATGTTCTTCAGCACTTGCTCAACATTGTGGAAGTTGATACATTAATACAGAGGCATTCCAGCTCAAGTGGTTGCACTTTGTGACACCGATTGGCTTGGAAATATTTGTGCGGGTTGGCATCCATGAGTTAAGAAAATGCTGAAAAGTTTAGTCTTCTGGCTCTAACGGTTTTAGACATATGCAACCCCAACCTTAACCCCGAAGAGAAAATATGACATTCGGGGTAAAAGCGCTATCTTTGGTAAAGTCGAGCTAGAAAAGCGTTTTTTGGATTCTTATCAAAGCTGAGACATTGTAGGAACGCATTATGCAATGCATTTTCTAATAAGTTCATTACCAACGGAGTTAAAAATGCCTAAAATTGTAAATATTGGCAAAAATTGCACCCAAATTTGGAGCACTAGAATGCACAAGGGGCTTCTGCAACATTGTACATGAAAGCAATGCCAATTTAAGAACTAAATTTCAATTTTCCATGTTGTTTGAAACAACTTAAAATTAACTTTGAAAAGTCCAATATTGCCTATTTTCATAAACTTTGACGGTTTGCACATCCTATTTCAAATGCTGATGCTACACCTGTTCATAATGAAGGCAAATGTTTTTCAAGACATTCCTGGCTTTTCCTAACCGGAGGCTCAAAATTTCCTGTTCAATTTCTGAGAAAGAATGGAAAGAATGCAATTCTTACAACTGTGAAGCACTAGCATTTGATACGTATGTTTGTGGCAATCACTTGACGTATGTAAGGAACACAATTCCATTCCATTCCGAAGGCGTCTTAGTCCGAAATGCAAAGTAAGCGTCAAGATCAGCACACGGAGTTGCAACAAATTCATAAAACGTCAAATTTTTTTAAGCTTGAAACAGATATACAACAAAACCACAGCTACTTAAAGAACACTGGTGAGATATACCCAAACTTGATTGTTTCACCAGGATTCCCGTAGTTGGTACTTTGGGCGAAACATTTCAAGAGGAAACCTGAAACCTTTCATCGTTCAAGAAATTACACAGACAAGAATATTAAATTCAACCGCTTGTTTAATAAATCAATGGAAAGAACTTGAGAAAGACCTTTAATGGCACACTCGTTTCAAGTTTAGATCGCTTTTAAAACAGGATGAACGAACCGCCAAGGTTTATGAAAATAGGCAAAAATTGGACTTTTCAAAGTTAATTTTAAGTTGTTTCAAACAACGTGGAAAATTGAAATTTAGTTCTTAAATTGGCATTGATTTCTTATACAATGTTGCAAAAGCTCGTTGTGTTGCCATGCATTCCAGTGCTCCAAATTTGCGAGCAATTTTTGCCCATATTTACAATTAAAGAAAATTTTAAACTCAATTGGTGAACTTAATAGAAAATGCATTTCATAATGCGATCCTACAATGTCTCAGCTTTGGTAAGAGTTCAAAAACGCTTTTCTAGCTAGGCTTTGACCAAATATTGCGTTTTTACAACAAAGGTCACATTTCCTCTTCTGGGTTATGGTTGGGGTTGCATTTCTAGAAAATCATTAAAGCTAGAGAGCTAAAATTGCCAGTACTTTCATAACTCCTGGATGCAAACCTGCGCATATATTTTCATGCAAGTCGAAGTCTGGAACCAAACGAAAGTGACTGAAATTTGAACACTTAAGCTGGAACTCCTCTACTGTTACTGAATAACGTTGACTCAGTCTTTCTGGGCAGACTGGGTTAGGAGTTGCGTAGAGGTGAATGTATACCTTTTTTAAATCTAACAATCGTCCATTCCTCTCGCGTATGAGTCAGTTAGCTGTAAGAAACTAAATATGGTTCAAGGTTGGTATGAAGATTTTTATTCAATAGAAGCAAGCTTCCTTCAAAGTACATATAGCTATCCCATCTGGTTAAGCCATACTTGGGAGATCTTTTACTTACAGGGGAGCGGATTAAGAAATGGATGTGTGACTTCGTACCTGATCTCTTTAAAAAGTAAGTTTTTCGTACGTTATCTATATGTTCTAATGTGCAATTCACCATTTGCAAACTTAATGGCATGCTTTTATTAATAAAACAGAGGGTTAGGAATTTCATATGCAAGCCACGGTGAATATGTATCAGGATATAGTTGCTAAGTTAAGAAAACTTCATGAATTTCTTTCAAATTCAAGGTGTGGTTCTCCCAACTTCATTTGGGACCTGCAACAACAACTGGAATCTGGAACAACAAGTTGGGAGAACATCGGAAGCCAATTGGGAAACAATCCTGAGGTGATGAGTAAGCTGCACAAAGGAAGCGTATCCCCACTCATGACAATGGGCACTTTTTGCGAGGAATGGATATACTTTTCACAGGAGGGACGAAAGAATCTAGTCGACTGTAAACTTTGGGACTTATTGCGTGAAGTAGCACTAGTGGTTGAGATGGAGACCGTCTTCAACATAATTTGCAACTCTCAACCAACCTAAAGTCCCATTTCCGAATTTGCACACCCAAGAATCTAGACGAAAATAGGTTCAGAATCATCATTCAGAATCTGCTCCTCATGTACTCTCGATTTGTAGTCACATATACTTTAGTTTCATATGGAGGGAGCGCGACCCCTCCTGGGGGGGCCGAGTGGGTCCCAAGTGAGGCACGACAAGACCGAGATTTCTGGTTTTCTTTTAAATGCATATTCATTGACACTTGCGTTTTTTATCTGCTAAAATCGTTTGGCATTTTCATCAGCCGAGAGGTGTTCCAGAAAAGCCATTTTAGGCTCAGTGGTTGGATAGGCGGAGGCAGGCCTCTTCTTCTTCAGGAATGGAATTCCGAAGTAATTTATACTCTTTCTCAAGAGGCTGACTACAAAATAGCAGATATCGCCCAGATTATGCTTAGAAATCATTACAGAGGTACTTTTACGCCACCAGCCGTTGTACTTCATTCACCTGCTTCAAACGTAATCCTAAGGCTTTCCTGGGAAAAATTAGTTTTTTATATGGATACTGAATATGGATTTTGGATTGCGCATCCCTTTGTGGTGCATCTTGAATGCTTAGAGCAGTCTTCGTGCACGTTTTTCTTATGAAGAAACAATTCCAGATGGTAAATAATGAACTCGAGAGAACTTCATACAAATTTCCTAAACCTCGAAAATATATAAATAATTAGCACATACGGCTTTGCTTTCATACGACTGCACACCAGGCAGCTATGACCATGAAAATCTACCCCGAACTTTTTCAGAAAATGTCGAAGAATAGCGCTGTGATACGACAACAGTAAAGGAGCAGACATATCCCGGCTAATCTGCCACGTCGACAGTCAGTCGCTCATTGCGAATATCAATCATCGACTGATTGTCGGGTCATCGATCACCGACGATCGACCGAAATCGGCCATGGGTCAGAAGCATTCTGGGGAATTGATATAATGAAGAGCCATCTGAGAAATTTGCGAGGGTGCGGAATGGTCAGCGGCTATTTTCGACAGTCTCAGACTTATGAGTGTCTAATATGAATATAGAAAGTTTTTTCTTTCCGCATTCGACATATAGGTTTTGTGGATGAGTTTCCTGGTTACTACAGTTGCCGTCTTTAACCATACGCCAAAGGAAATCGCTCTGCGATTCTTCGCAATCACTGGCACACAGTCAGCCTTCTCAGATCAGGTCTCAAGGATATATGACTTTACAAGAGTGTCAATCTCAACAAACCAAATATCTCACCCCTTGACCGATTTGGATCCATGGAGTCCAATTAGGGCTCCATTGGTGGTGAAACGAAGCTGATCCCACTTAAACCCTTGATGATATTACACTAACCTATGGCAACATAGCCTGTATCATGCAGATGTGCAAACTCTTTCAGAAGCATATTTTACCGTGACAATAAAATCCCCATAAATGGGTCACTCCAAGTAAAAGCAACTCACACGAAAACATGACCCCCTCAAATTTTGCTAAAATGTGGACCATAGCTTTGTATCATTCAGAAAGTGAGGAATCCAAAATATTTTCGTCATCCGCAGCTTAAATTGAAAAATAGGAGGCCCAATAGAAAATACACGGCGTCAAAAAAAAATTAACACTGCACGATTCAAACTTCCTTAAATTATACAAAACATAAAAATCGTTATTTCCGCAGTCATAAAGAAGGAAGATGAAGCTCTCGTTTGCTGTAAAAAGCATGGAAAGCGATCGATTCTAAAGCAAGATGTGAGACTAAGAATTATACTAGACAAAATGTTACTTCCTTTCACAATGTCATTCAGGAATTCCTTCAACGTCTGCCTCTCTAACGCGTCGTCAGTACACCTTCAGCCCCTTAGCAACATGTATGCATTGATTTTTGAGACTCATATGCAATTTTTGCTTTTAGATGCGCCAAAGCCAGCAGTCCAGTGCAGAATTACAAACCTTGACTGAAAATGCATTGAATTTTTTGTGCATTCTATTCTTACCATCGCTGAATCTTCAGACAGCTCGTGGTGATTCGATAGCGACTGAATTTTGCAGACGTTAATTTCATCTTTTAATATTTCTCATAAAACTATTCGACGTTCATGCAGTTTCCAGAATTAAAATAAATCAACGGGTGTGGCCTGGTCATAGAGACACTCGCGAATGCGAATGATCTATGAGTTTTCTGCCAATGTTTGCAATTCTTGAATGGACTGCTAGTTTTGATGAATCTAACTGCAAAATTGTATTGAAGTCACAAAAATCAATGCGGAAAGAGAACGAGGCATAAGGGAGTCATTCGTCGAGAATCTTATCGAATGACTGAAGGTACACGGTCGTGTGGGAGAGGCTGATGTTGAACGTATCCTTCAGTGACATTGTGAAAGTAGATATCTTTTTCAAATTTAATACTTAGACTCATATCTCTCTTCAGAATAGATCAATTTCCTTGTGGTGTTTCGCAAACAAAAACTTAATATTTCTTCCTTACGGTTTCGGAAAGAATTTTTCTAACGTATTGTATTATTTAAGAAAAATTTAATCGAACTGCGTTAACTTTTTTGGGGGCATCCGGTATCTGATTTGTTACCTTTTATCGACTCTCTCCCTGAACATGCTTACAGTTTCACTTCTCTTCGATGCAGATAAATTGCTTTTGGCTTATCTGAAAGTTCTGTTTCTGCCCTTTTCGATAGTATTATATGTTTTTAAATATTATCTTTAAAAATAAACCGTTTGGATAGAACCTATAATCAAATATTGACATAATTCTGCAAAAATACCCCATAAGCGAAAAAGGAGCCCTAAACCATTTCTCTCCCTAGAAGAGAAATGAAGTTATGAACATTTTCTGGAAGAGAGATGATGAAAAGTAACAAAGTGGACATATCTGTAGCCCCTCCTATCTTTAGATCTAACAAAAGAAGGACAAACGTATTTCGGATTCCTCACTTTCTGAATGGTACAAATCTATGGCTCAAATTTCATCAAAATCGGAGGGGATCATGCTTCGAGTGCGTTCTTTTGATGAGGAATGACTCGCAAGTCCACATTGGCTGGATTTAAAAACCTCATCTACTGCTATAGATATAGATGGATATTGCGCAAGTCTTAAGAAGCGAAGAAATTCCCAACGACTTGATGCTTATTAACATTGATGAAATTCTCAATGACTTGAGGAGGAAGAGGACGTTCTCAGATTCTGAGGAAGCCTTTCAAGAGGTTTTACAGAATAAACCATCTGAAAAGGTGATCGCAAGAATCAATGATTATGCTTCTTTCCTGTAATGTTCTGAATTTTAATTATTTTTAGAATGATTATCAGGTTTCGTATTTGCAAGAAAAGCTGCTCCCGAAAGGAGTTCCTGGTTTCATGCACCTCGCGAATTCCTTACAAGAAAAAGGGCAGGAAAGTCTTGCTGGAAGAGTGCGCCTTGGTAAGTTTCTGTCCTGCAAAGTGCCATAGAAAAATGCATATTTTTTAGAATTCTAATTGCATACATTTGATAATTTATTAGGTTGGAAAGAAAGTCTTGTAACATTCTTGCAACCCAACGCACGGGTAACTGCTCGATGCCCTTTACCCAGAAATCTGGCGATTGCGAAGCGAAAAAACGGCCAACATCATTTTCGAGCTGTGCTCGATCGTCGAAGGCCTTGTCCCGTGGGTGATTCCTGAGGGCCCGGAACAAGTGATAGTCGGATGGGGCCAAGTCCGGAGAATACGCTGGATGGGGTAAAATTTCAACGCCCAGTTCCGAAATCGTCTGGCGAGTCACCCTTGCAACATGTGGACGAGCGTTGTCATGCAGAAGGAGAACAAACATTTTGCTACAATTTTAAGAGACTTCCCTTGCCCATCTTTGTGCGGAATTTCATATCGTTTCCTTCAACCGTTTATCCTCAAAAGTTCGATTATACAAATGCAAAGCCCCGCCCATCATTCCTTTGAAAATTTTTATAGTTTTAGAAAGTGTTGCAAGACTTTCTTTTCAACCCAATAGAATACCGAAGTACAAGTGAAAAGAAAAATCGATTGCGAAAAATGTTTAATGCAAAAAGGACATAACAAATTCGTTGACTTTGGCATCGTGACACCTTTGCATTGAGGGTGGCCTTGACAACTATTTCGCAATATCTTCATTTTTTCCAGCTTTGGGGCAGGAACCAACGTGTTTTCGAGAAATAATTCAACGTTCCTGGGAATTTCTTATGGCTAACTTAGACGCGAACAGAGTCACAGGTCGTCTATATGGAGCAGACCTTCTCACTTCAGAAGACTCTGTTGCAATCATGACAAGAAAGGATCCAGCAGAAAGAAAAGTAATACTCCTAGCAAAACTTTCATCTAGGATTGTTCCGGATAATATCCAAAAGCTCTTTGAAGTTCTGGGAATGGAGAAGCAAAGTGCTGCATGTAATAAACTCCGCAAAGAATGTGAGGATTTCTAGAAATAAGGACAAGCATGACATGACAATGACATACGGTGAACAAAAACGACAATGGACCTAATAACACATTCCTGACTGTAGGCGGAGATTTCCGCTCTGTAGAATTTTCCTTGCCTGACCGGGTATGGAAATTTCCGTTCTGATGCATGGTGGTCTTCCATATTTTTTAATTACTTCTGAATGAACTCAACTTTGACTATACTCTTTGCATGTTCTGAAAGCATGGTTTGGCTTTGTGGTAAAGATGTTTCGCCAACAGACTGTATGACACGATCTAGAGATATTTTTCGAATTTCGTGCATTTCTGGTCTAGTGTGATTCCAACAGGCCTGCCAAAGATGAGTAGTGAAAAACGGGAACGGGAGTAGAGGGACGAAGAAATACGCGAAATATTTCCGAACAGTGATTCCGATATGAGTATACATACTAGGTCTAGATAGCAGTAACAGTGATGTAATATCTGCTTCTGATAAGTAAAATAAAAACCGAGAAAGTGGAGAAGGAATACAATTTTGCGCCGCCAAGGTAACCAGTTCTTGTCCGTTGTTTGCACTTTTCCGATTGTGATGATTTTTTAAATATTAAATTCCATGTTTAGCACAATAAAATCAATAATGGAAGTTCCACGAGCTCTACTGAACGTTTCCATTTTTGAGTCATGCTCGTGCATCAATTGAGTTATTCTTTTTTCCGAAACGTTATATGTTGCAGAAAATGATTGGTTTGCAAGGATTTCACATAGGGAAAGCACTTAGTGAGGAAAGGGTTAATGTAGGAGGAAAGGGGGCGCCCGCTTGGCACGGGCACCACATCCTAATCACAGTCCCTCAGGGTAGAACACCCCTCGTACGTTCTCTAGGAGGGCCACGGGGCAGTTCACGGGTGGCCTAAGCCCTTGACTGGCAATAGGCATATATAAGGTGTACTGCATCCGTATCTATTAGTCGTGGCACATAGAGTGGCATGTGTGTTATCCCACATTAAGCAGACACTACCAATGAAAGCACGTGTGTCGCCTAGTGATTGAAACAAACCAAAATCCAAAATTCATTTCATTTTTTCATTTGGTAGGGATGGCCATGGAAGAATGGAAGGGTAAAGCCTTCAAACACGAGGCTTCCAATGGGACTAGCGGAAATCAAGCGCACCAGAAAACAATGGAGCAAGGTCAGTCTTCATTGAACGCAAAATGATGAGGCTCAAATAGTGCACTGAGTTGTAGGATTTTCAATTAGGCTCAGCCAGTGCACCACATCGCATTATAGACAAATAAAGTAAACCTAAGACCCGTCAAAAGAAATGGCCCTTTTCCTATTAGAAGTTCCATACTTTTACTTCTTCATTCAATCTCATTCAGGAACTCCATGTCAAGTTGTCCAAGGAATTTTGGACCTAGGACACTGAACAAGACAAGACACAATGATAACTACCTCCATCTTTCGCATACTTCACAAATTTTCTCAAGTTTTCTTTAGGAAAAAAGTTACTTGCACTTTACATCGATTTGCACTTTACAGCGTTCAGAGTGCCAAGGAAAAAGTTTTTTCAAACAGTTCTTATTTCAAACAGCAGTTCTTATTTCGTGTGATGTGGTTTCGGATGAGTATGAAGCTACACGTGCAATTATTGAGCCTATTCATATTGACCAAACCGGAAATCCGTGCTTATGTCATTAATAACATTTGAGTTCCTTTAATACTTTTCATTGCAGAATGTCCGAATATTTATCAAAAGTAGAAAGGAAATTGAATTCCAATATTTCTCCGTTCAATAACATGAAGACTCACATTAAGACAGCATGCATAATGCATTTACGTCTCTTTTAATATGGTGGAGCAAAAGTCGCACCCCATAGGTTAAAATGCGGACAATCTTCAAATAGTTTGCCATAAACTTGAAAACACTTCGATTTGCTGAACACATGATGTTTGAAAATATCTCAATTCCAACCTCTCGTCTTTTGTAAATTTTGGAGCCGTCACTTGCCTGCAAAGAAAGAAACAGGAGTTAACGTAGTACAAGAGTAAAATCCCCTATAGGGTGCGACTTTTGCCCGCCCTCTATATAGACGATCATGACTGAGTGACTGACCGATGCTGATTCTAACCATGTACTATAGAAGTTATAAATATTTGAAACTAGGTAAACCAATAGTTATTTGGATGCAGAGTTCGGGAAAATATTACTTTGACGGTAAATTTCCTAGGGCACACATTTTGACTTCAAAACTCACTGTAAATTCATTATCTTAGATAATGAAAGACGCGACCAATTTTCTCTCCTTCAAAATTGCACCGTCACGGTTACACTTGTGAAGGATTAAATTATTACCCTTTTGCATATCAATTCTTAATTCTATGGGAATTTTTTCATGTCCATTTTTTTGTCTTGGATGCTCTTGCATGACATTGTATCATTTACCAATGTGGAATGACCTTAAACTGATTTCTTTTTCAATCCAGAATCACCGGCTATGGCTGTTGGAAATGGGAAGATACAATCCAAGCTCGTCGCCGTTGGCAAACACGATCTTGGTGAACTTGGTGCTCGGTACTACTTTCGTGAGAGGAGAGAAAAAAGGTCCAAGGAAAGAGGGGACTCAGGAACAGGATTAGATGAACGTGGAAAGAAAAGGAAACAAAAAAACAGCAGAATGGGTACGTGGAATGCCTCCTCGACCTTGTCTGAAAATAATCAATGATTCCTTTCTGGAAATTCCTATTATTAAATGCTCTGCATCTTTTATATCTTCAGGACGACGTCGGACCCTCATCAATTTTGGAGAAAGAGACCAGACTAAGATGCATATTGCAGTGCCATGAACCGGAGATGCTGGAGATACGTCAAGCAAAGGACAAGCCCAAGAACAAGAACTTGGAAACCGCGTTAGTGCCGCACATAGGATTGGGGTTTCACAAGGAAACGACGAACTGCCTCTAATATGCAGAACACCACATACCCAAACGTTTAAATGTGTGGCACATTTTCAGAACACTCGAGTTTATAGAAACTTCGTATCTGTTGCCTGCAATAGTCTAGTAACTCTTGATATGAAGAGTGTTGATACGAAGAGTCTTGAAGAGTGCTTGGAATGTTATTTCTTTTTTTTCTTGAGTATTTTTGAAGAGGACACATATTTACTTAGTAAAATAGCATAATTCAATAGGCTTTTATAAATTCATTGATTTCTTCGTGTGCGTTACTCTCTTTGGGGCATGGATCGAACTTTTTCCACAGCACCCCGAAAAACCATTATATGAGGTTTGTAGGTCTGGACTACTGGTCCATAGGTTACGGCTAAATAGCCTATATGCAGATTTGGACATTTGGCTCCACGTCATTTCACTGCAAGTCACTTCTATGTTAGACAAATGACTGCCGACATTTCACTGCAAACAATTTATTCGTATGCGTCAATTAACTGTACGTCATTTCACTGTGATACCCTTTTCACTGCATTCACTTTCGCTGCTAAGATTGTCCTAGAAATTATGGATATTGAAATAAAACGGGTTAATAATTGTCACATAACAGGAAAACCCGGGAGGAAATAGGGGGATTGTCAGAATGAGTTCAAAACTGAAGATTCAGCGCGATACCGCGCAAAAATGAAAGGACATCCCTTGACTGTTGCTGCTCGACCAAGGTCAGGAGGCGATCATCAGCTGCCTTGTATTTCTTTTTCCGAGGCTGAGGATGGCCAGAGAGTGCCTGCTACTCGGACCTCCTGGCGTCTCTGCTCTTAATCAAGTACCTCAGGAACTTCCAAAGCGTTGGGTGTGAACATCTCAGACCACCTTGGAATATATTTTGCCAGGCTTCAATGGCATTATTTGTGCGAGGAAGACCTTGCACAATGCTGTCGTGAACGTTCCAAAAGACGATGTCGAACATAGGTTTCGCTCGACCTCTTTTACGAAGGCGTCCAACGTAGGTATCCTCGAAGTAATTTACTATCGGTTCAGTTACCTCTGGAAGGACTTCGGCGAGAGGGAACAAAAGCCAGTGCTGGTAGCATTCGGAGGTGAATTTAAAGTTGTGGATCAGTCCCGTAGGCAGCCTGAAGGCCTTCGCCTTGCACTTTGCAATACAGAGATTGGCAAATATGAAACAGACAACCTGATTGTGTGACTCCTGGAAATACCTTTTTAGTGGCATTGATAGAGGCCTTTTCAAAGTCGCTCAGCACTGTTGCAGGATTAAGGTTTGGACGAAGTTCCTCCAACTTTTCCATCACTCTCACGTAGTCGTTCTCTGTTTTGGAATGCATGAGAACATAGACAAGAGGAACGACCGTGGCGCTAAAAACCAACGCGTGAATTGTGAAGAACTAAAGAAATATCGCAGGAACTACTTTGAAGGTACCATTCATGAAGATATGGTGCGAATCTTGTAGGAGGTCAAGATTTCTTTCTGCGCAGAAGACCAGAATCCTATTTGAGTCATTCTTGCCGCTATCAAAAAGAAGGAACTTAGCACCCATGTTTGTCACCTTGAACGCGTCCGGGATCTCGAAACCTATATGAAACTGAGGAAGATCCGGATTATTGCCGTTCTTCTCTCTTTTCCTTTGAATTGTTCTTGAAATGTTCTTCATTGAAGGCAGCTGGGAAGAAGCGACATCATCGAGATTCAGCACATTATCAGTGATAATCATCCGTGTTGGTGTGACACTGTCGACAGAAGTTTCTTTCATGCGATGAATGGCAGCCTCACTCTCACCTTTGCCCGGCATAGGACCATGATTGTGATGGGCAACACGAGAAACTATGTCACCAGATGCGATTGAAGAATGAAATCTCGCTTTGCACCCTTTTGATGAACGATATTCACGTGTCCGGTATGTTTTGCTTCCAGAACTCCAATCTTTTACGAATATTAAACCCGTGTCAACCAACTTTGGTTGACCTTTACTGCTGATGACGAAAGTCATGACAGAGTCTAGAATTGAAACTCTGTAGTAACAAAAAAATCAATGCGATATGGACTGCAGAATATGAATACTAAAGATGAAAGCCTACACCATGACGTACGGATAGATAATGAACATGCAGGAGTGAAATCAATCGGGAATGAGACCAAGAAGGTTCCTTCGATGGCTAGGCAAGCTTTAATCGTCTCGGGAAACCGCTGGAACGTGTCATGAGAATTGTGAACGTGTTGTTATTTTCGCCGTTATTTTTCCCAATGGGAAACGAAACGGAATAAAGACTGCTGTATATTGACGGTTTGGAGTGGCTCAAAAAAGTGCCTAATTTTGGCAGTATTATCAATATGCCAGTTCATTTGAACGATTTACAATTTATTAATTTATTTCTCACTTTCCATTTTTTATATTCAGCTTCCCTCTGAGTCACAAGTGTAAAATGGGAACTCCCGATAGGCTGCCTAAGACGATCGAGGAAGTGCAAAACATTTCCATTGGGGAGAAACGGGAAAGTCCCTTTGTGGCAGGGAAGGAATTATTCATCAGTAAGAATTATCCTGATTGGAAAAAAGGGTGTCATGTGCTGTACAACGTTATCCGGGAAGAGGGAAGAAAATCAGGCGATACAGCCGAAGAGAAACTGATGAGGAAAATTCACGAATTTTCTGAAGAGAACAAGCAACCAATGTTTGTGATGGCCAATGTCAAACGTCCCAAGAAATATGTGAAAAGCAAAGGAGAGTCAGATGTAGTAATCGTACACCGCTATGCAGGTGTGAAAATCTTAGAAACGAGACTTCGTCTTCATCCAATCAGAAGTTCAGAATCTAAAATTATTGAGAACATCAAGGAAGAAAAAATGGATCAAGTCCATCATGGAATAAATATAATCAAAGACTGTTATAAAAAAAAAGAATTCCATGAGTTACCGACTGATGAAATAGTTCGGGGCCCAGATGGGTATGCCTGCTTCCCCTGCAACGCTTTCCCAAAGGAGCTCCTACATTTGAAAGTGGAAGGAGTCCTCACCGCCGATGAATGCCAGAGCATAGAATCTTTCAAGAAATGGTGGGAGACGTTTATATACCCAAGGAATGAGAAGCCCGCTCCAAAACCACTTTCTGACGAAACATACCTCAACCTCCTCTCGCTGTGATTTTTTTTTCATTGAAAACAGTCCCCGTTTCCCTTCAGGGAATGTTGTGATAATCAAGTTATTCTTCATCGTTTTCATCTTTTAGGTTGATTGGTGTGAAGCACTTTCGACCAAGCATGAATAGGCTAAATCGGAGATGGTTGAGGCTAGCGATTCCCAACACCCTCCAGAATCCAGAAGCTGACATGAATAAATACGGGTTTGCCAATTGGAAACCGGAAACGTACGAGGTAGAAGAAGAAGGACGAAGTAGGAAGATGTTCAGCATTCCGTTTGCTGTTTTTGTCAGACCTCATCTACAAGAACTCATGGACTGGGTGAAACGTGAATCCCATCCATGGACGAAGACCATTGAAAGCGGGGCTGGGACAGGGAAGACATGGATCTTGACCGATGTGGCATCTGGTATTCTGGTCGATGAATTAATAAGGAGAAATGGCGATGATATAAAACCCTCCTCCGACCACGCCCCAGGGCCATTGATTTCCATGTTCGTCCTATGCTTCAATATCCCCCTGTCCAATTATCTTCATGATGAGATACGACGTGCGACTTTGGAGAAGTTGACAATGAAGGGAATGGAATCTAAGTTTCCTTCCTCCGATTCATCCTCGTCTGGGCTTTAAAAGATGAATCTCTTCGATTACAATACATTTGGTCGATTCACAAAATATTCAACTGCAAAGGATAGGAAAGAATTCGTGAGAGAAATGTTGAAAAAATCAGACTATTCAATACAAAAAGAGCTGGGCACATATAGTTACATTTTTGTAGACGAGGCCATGGATCTTTGCTTATTTAACAGTGTGTCCGGAGAGAATGAACCTGCTTCATCATGGCTGGTCTTGCTGGAGAAGATGTGGAATAAGAATGGGTGCTTTCTGCTCACCTTCGATCAAGAATAGCTCGTGAGAAAAAAAAGAACAAATGCTGACGGAAACAGAAAAAAAAAGAACTTCGACAAGGCTAAGAAACTTACCATGAATATTCGCAACCCGGAACGGATTTGCACAAGCTTTCTCGTGCATGTCAAAAAAGACACTCGAAAAGATGTGACCATGGGCCACAGCATTCAAGGATTTTACGTGGAATATGTGAAACCCTACCTCCCACGTGGATTCCACATCGATGAAGAAGGCCGTTAGCAACAAGGAATCACAAATGTCGTTAGAACCATCAATAAATATATAGCAGGAAACGATGACCATGAGTTTGCCATCCTAACTAGAAATATACCGCATAGAGATGAGGTGATTTCGAAGATGAATGAGACTTTGAAAGACGAATGGAGTTATTCCCTGCAGGATGCAGAGAATTTCTGGAAGGGAGGCCTTACCCCATCCGACGTACGACGATCTTCTAAAGGATTCCCCAAAATCAAACTTGTTGTGGACTCGGTTCTACGATTTCAAGGTTTGGAGGCAAGCTGCGTGATCCTGTTCCACCTTGGCTTATGGAGCGATGAATATCTATACATCGGTAAAAGCAGATCCACAAACTCTCTGTATATCATCGGAACGGAAGGGGATTGCAAGAAAATTAAGAAAAAGGAAAAGGACTACGTTATGAGCTCGACCCGAAATGAGGAATAGAAAACCGTTCAGCAGCATTTTCACACCTTGAGAAATCTTGAAATCTATCATTTCTTTCTCGTGTAAGTTTATTCGAAAACCATGCGACACGCGAATCTGATATCTACGTCGTTGAGCTAGTTCGTTACATTGGCTACCTTTGTAGTTATTCCATCACTCGAAGCCCCTTCAGTTCGTTCAG